AAGAAAAAAACGTTTTTTTTTTTAAATTTATAACTACTTAGTTAAGTAAAAGAAAAAAAAAGCAAGCCGCCGTACGCAGTCCCCTTTTCGGCCGGGCTTATGCTCTCGTTTTCCGGCGTCCTCCGCTGCTATTACGGAATACCTACAATGGCGTTCAGGGCAATGCGGATAGCATTTGCAAGCGCCACTTTCCCCTGTTCGTGCGTTGCAAAAAGATGCTCTGCACCAGCGCGCTTGGCCACAACGACGCACACCGAACCCGCCTGGTACCCAAGCATGTTTGAGAGCGAACACAGGGCACTTGTCTCCATCTCAATGTTGGCCACGATTTCTTTCCCCTCAGTAACATCAAACTCAAGCTTGGAAAGCTCCTCCACCAAATTGGGCACCAGGAGGTGCTCGCGGAAGCGGCCCACGGCGCGTCCCTGACAGCCGTAGAATCCACTGGCGGTTGCAGTGGTGCCGACAACGTACTCCTGCTTCTTGGCTCCCGCCGACAGATGCTCGTTGAAACTCTTGCAGGCCGCCACAATGCCGTTCGTGATGGCGGGGTGTGCCTTTGTGGTGTACACGTCAATACCACCCAGGCCAGTGCGCGCCTTCACCACACGCTGCACCTCCAGTAGATCCTTCGACTTCTTGACCTGCTCATTGGCCTTGTACAGGAGGCAGGTGTTATCCATGCCGATGACGTAGCGCGTGACGGCGAGGGCGCCAAGCGACATATCCGGAAACGGCGAGCCGCATGTCCCCACGCGAATAAGTTTCACGGTGGATGGGTCAAACACCTGTGCGCCCTGTGGTACGTGCGCATCCCCTGCGCGTGGGCGCCACCCACGGCGCACAAAGTCGTACTCCTTCAGTACATAAATCTCGTTGATGACGATCTCCACGTTGTCCGTCCCCATCCCCGTACTCACGACGGAGACGGGCGTGCCCTGGTAGGTGCCGGTGGAAATGTAGATTTCACGGTTCTCGCTGTGAAAGCGCACACTGCCGGCGTCAAAGAACTCCGCCACATCCTTCACACGCCCTGGGTCGCCCACGAGCAGGATGCGGTCGGCAAGTTCATCCGATTTGCACTTCACGTGGTAAGTGACGCCCTCTGGGCTGACGGGGAGATCCGGGTCCACCTTCAAGTGGTCTGCGGAGGCTGCTTTGGACATGACAGGTAATGTTAGTAAATTCGCTTTGGCTTCCCATGCAATATGCAGGCAGAAGCGGCGACAACGTCAGCGCAGAGAGGCAAAAAAAAAAAGAAGGAAGGAAGGAAAGAGGTGAAATAAATAAAGGTGAGTATCGAGGCACCGCGTTTACCGCCGCAGACAAACAAAAAAACAAACGACCAAGAAACAAAGACGAAAACACACAGAGACACAATATATATATATATATATACATAAAGAGGAACTGTTCTATTGTCGTCTAGCCAAATAGAAAAGCGCGCACACAACGCACCCACTGGTAGCGAGACAGGCAAGGCCGAGAAATCGACCTCTTCGCCCTCGCATTGGCAGACATGCATATCTATACATGCACATAGATGGGACATGAATGAATGCATACCCACTCTCGATGTACGGTAACGGGCAACAGGAAACAAACCAGCACATCATTGCATATACACAAGTATAGTATATGCAATGATGTGGTTGCTGCTGGACCAGAGAAATGAAAGCAGCGTGCCTGTGACGGTCACCTTTGTAGTTGGTGTACAGCAAGCAGTATATATATATATATATATATATATGGGGTGGTGGTGGTGATGGTGGTGGAGGAGAGAGAGAGAGAGCTGACAAAACACAAACATCGAGGCGAGAGCGGCGGAGGCGGGGTGCGCTGCACCGTTCCTCCCGTGGGATGCTCTCACGCGGACACACGATGCCGCCCTCATCGACAAGCCAAAAACAAATAAATCAAAGACCCCCCACCCAAACCACGCCAAGACAAAATTGATGCAATCACGCACTTACTGACTCCAACGGGAAAGTAATCCAACAACAACAGAAAACAAACAAACAAACAACAACAACAAAAAAAAAATTAACGACGTAAAAACAAAAAACGAAAAAAAAAAAGACTGATGACAAATAACGAATAGACCTCAGTACGACATTTGTATTTATTCATAAATTTATGCGTATTTATGTTTTTACCTGATTGACTCCGTGAACGCAGACATGCACGCACGGAAAGTCATCCTTCCTGGCGGGGGCGTTGATGGCTCTTGTCCGCCCACAGCTTGGCGTACTCATACGAAGTGGACGCTAACAACCCGTCTATAAGACACGTTCCAATGTTAAGCGCGAGGCCAACGTAAAACCCCTGCATGCCGCGAGTCCGGTACATATCGCGGACGACACGCCACAATCGGGCATTCGGCGTCACCTGCAGATTTGCTCGTGCCACCAGATACGGATTGAACAGTACGGCCGTGCTTGCGCTTGTAAAAAACGAGGACACGGAGTTCAGCACCATGTTGTCGTCCCTCGCCAGCAACCAGTGTTTCCATGCCACGAAGAACGAGGTGGATGGGTTCAACCTCTCTTGACCCCCCGTCTCTAGAAATTCGTCGGCAGCCTCGTACAACCAGCTCTTGGTGTATCCATACATGGCCCACCACACTGCCGTCCACTGGCATCCAACTAACAAGGTTGTACCGTAACCTGCAAACACCGTACGCATTCCATTCTCACGGTACATGGACACCAAGGTGCGAAACATGCCACTTGTTTCATGTGTGCCCCCAATCGTTGTCTTCTTTGCCGTCATCTGCCGCAGTGCGACAATACTAAGGGGAATATGAACCAGCCGACAGACGACGTCTGACACGTATCCGGACACCGCATCGCGTGTTGCGTCGGACTCCACAGGAAGTCGTTCGCGGCTGTACTCAAAGAGCCAAAGATAGAGTGCCTCGCTGAGGGTACATCCCAGCGTCAGAGCAGTCATTCCCTGCCTCAGGCCAAGCGTGCCCCCTTCGGTGGTGTATACGCATCGCACAATTTGCATTGCTGTCATGGTGCTCGCGACAGGGCATGTTTGTTGGCGAGCTAAAGCAAGATTAAGCGGCTGCTGCAGGGCTGTCCGTAGCCAACAGAGAACCGCAGCGTAGAAGACAAACTGCAAGCCATTCAGATCCGAGTAGCTCCTGTTCACGCTATTCGTGTGGTCGTGTGGTCCAACCTCCGTGGTGTGCAGAGACAAAGTGCAGAGTGAAGCGGCGGTGGCGGTGGCAGCGTTGCAATTTTCTACGGGAAGATCGTTTTGTGCGGCAAGGCCAGGGCTGTACACTGCTGAGCTCATCAGGGGGAGAACCCGCAAAGTGAACCCCAGAAAAGAAGAAAACAAAGATAAATCACAAATTCACGTCTTTAAACGCACTACACACAAATATATATATATATATATAAATGCCTGAACTTCACAATAACTTCCGATGCCTACTAAAGTCTCTCTCTTTTTCTCGTATTTCTTCTCCTTCTTTGTGCCTTTTGCTTGCCGCTTCGCCGTCTTCCCCCACTCCACTCCACTCCAACCCCGTTCCCTTGGCAGAGCTGCTTGTTTCACCTACGCGAGCTGCACGCACAACTGTAATAAAGAAGGAGCAAAAAAAAAAAAAGGCAACGTGGGGCAAACACTGCAACCGTCTCGCTCATTTTCACAAGCACACACACACACACACAAATAGACGCATACCATCAGATTCCACGAAGTCCTGTATGTGTCAACGTCCCCCCCCCCACCCACACACACATACCCGCCTTACCTCATTGTTTCTTGCTGCGAGGGGGGTGACCATCACATTCTTTTCATTCCTCCTTCTTGTTTTCTCCATATATATATATATATATATATATTCCCAGTCTTCTGGAGTCTTCCCTTTCCCTTTCGTTGGTCTTACACGTTATCGCGCTTTTCGCGCAGTTTTAGTTTGCCTCAGCCACCCTCGCCATTGCTGGACGCGGAAGCTGATCCCCCGCTTTTACTTCGTCTCTTCCCTACCCCACACATACACACACGTGGCGGGAGGTAACGTCCCAGTCACCCTTTTTTCGTGACTCACGCACTTGCGGCAGCCCCCACGCGGCGTTTCTTTGTGGCAGGGGTGGCCGACTTCTTGGCGTGTTGCCTCGTCTGAGCTGCCGCAAGGACGGGGCCCGGAGAAGGAACTGCGGTGTTGTTGTCACTAACTGACTTTTTCGTTCGCTTCTGCCCCCTCGTGTGGATGGCAGTTGTCACGGAAGACAACGGCGACGAGACAACCGTCGACTCCACGTTCTTGCTCTTACCCTTATCGTTCTTGTTATCGTCGCTGTGGGGGCCCTGAGGCTCCTTTGCTGGTCGCCGCCTCTTTCGGATGATCAGGTCGCTGGGAACCTTCTCCAGCTGCTCCTCAAAGCCGTGGTATGCGTAGTCAATGCCAAGGCGCTGCAAATGCTCGTTGTTCGCCTTCTCCACGCGGGAGTACTTTACGAGGGCCGCAACGGGGTTCTTCTGGCGCAGATCATGGGTGCGGAGAGATGCACCTTTTGTCTTGTGCGCGTACGCCAACCGTCGTCGCCGGGCTACCTTCTCCTTCGACGGCATTGCACGGTGCAACGTGACAGAGTGCGCCTGCACCGCACGGCCGCCGAGTGACATGCCGTGGCACTCCTCCACCACAGTAGGGAGCACCGCCGGGGAGTCAAATTGCACGTATGCAATGCCCTTGGACTGATGGGTGCGTCGGCTCCGCACGCAGAAGCAGTTCAATACCTTGGCGCCAAACTGCGAGAGAAATTTGAAGAGCTGTGGCTCCTGGAACTCCGGCGGGAGAAAACGAAGACGCAGAGCCTCATACGTCAACCGCGTCCCCTCACGCTTTGACTTCTCGAAGGGGTTCTCCCAGTCCTCTTCCGCACTTGCCTCACTTGTGTTATCGCTATCGGCAAGCTCGCTCAGATTCGCCTCATTGCTGCTACCAGAATCCACCGACTCCGCCTCCGATTCCTCTGCCTCCGCCTCGTTGTCGGGGTCGCTGTAAGCGGCCGTGTCGTCTTCCTCTCCTCTTTGGCGTTTTTTCGCGGCAACGATGCCCCCCACTACTGCACGCTTTGCCGCCGCCGCAGCAGCTGTCGCGGACCCGGATGCACCTGACGCGGTCTTCTTTACGGCCTCCGCCCCGGAAAAAGTTACGCCACGACGCGGAGTTTTACCCCCCGCGTGCACTGTCACCGTCTCAACGGCGGTCTTTGCCGCGTCCGCCGCAGCCTCCTTGAAGGCCTTCCGCGCGCTGGACGTCGCCGCGACGGCCTTCCGCGTTGCTGTTTTGCTTTTAGGTCCCATCATCCGACTAACAGGGTGCTTCAGCTCTCCTTCCGCCAAGAGAGGACACAGGAAAAAGAAAAAGAAAGGAAAAAAGGGAAGAAAGGCAAAGCGTGAGGTCAAGTGAAAATCGCCGGGAGATTAACAATAATAATAACGGCAACATGATAAATAAAGTTGCCCAATTCCACGTGAAACAACAGAGGCAGCAGCAAAAACATTTTTTATTTTATTTTACATGAATTTCTCACGCTCTGCGCGTTCGGCTTCTAATCCATTGTGGGATGCTTTCGTCGCCGCCATTCACTACATCTATCGGCAGAGGAGAGATATTTCAACTGTTCACGGCAAGAGAAGCGGGAAACGATGGAAATGAAGGCACAACCAGGCAGTACAGCAAATATATATGTGCATTATCCAAGTGGCTGCGCTCTACCGCTTCCTCTCCGAGGCGCGTGAGGGCCCGTAGAGACGCGGCGGGACTGCTGCGGCTGAGATTCAGCAAAGGAGTTGTGGTACCATGTCATCGCCCCCGTCATCCGCTCGGACACGGTGGGCAAAGCTGCGTTGGAGTTCTTCAGCAGCTGCGGACCCCCCTTTATGAGTTCCGCGTGCCACCGCAGCACGATCTGCTGCGCCATTCCCGCCAGTTTTGCGATGGTGCTTGCGGCATCGTCCATCAATACTTCCCCTTTCGGCGCGCAAAGTATCTCCGCCGCCGTGGAAAGCACAGCGATGTCGTGGTACATCTGCCTCATGACGGCAGTCCACCGCTTCGTCGCGGTCGCCTCGCTGAGGGACGGGGGTCGCTCCGGAAACTCATAACCATTTCTGCAGGCGACAATAACTTTGTACATCCATGTCACGCGCTGTGTAACGTCTTCCGGCACCACACGGTCCCGCAGCAGCCGTGTCGCTTTCGCAGTTATCAGGCGGGTCGTCATCGGCGGCCCCTCGGCACCTGCAGCACGACTAGTCACGTTACTTCTGTATTGCTCGCTTTGCGTTGATGGTCGCTGACCATCCGCTTCTGGTGGAAAGACTAAAAGCACCGCCTCAGAAAGCGCCAGCGGGTAACAGTCACGCAGCGAACCGTCCATAGGCAACGAACCAAGCAGTGGGCAACTCACAGATGCTAACGCCATCTGCCCATTAGGCCCCCCCTTAACACGTACGCCTCCTTCCGCAGACGATGACGATATGAAAAAGCCTGCCACAAGCTCAGCTGGGACGCTTTGCAAGACAGAAAAGACCGATCTTGCCACCTTCTCTGGGTTAAATAACTGCCGCATGCTACCATCGTTGGGAACATCGTCAAGGCAGAGAGCCAGTTGCTTGGCGATGTAGGTCTTTACATTTAACCGGCCTGGTGCCAGCAGTCCGTCAGATAGATGCTGCATCATAGTCGCTAGATGCAGTGCCGTACGCGCATACAATGCCTCTTTGTCTACAGCTTTGCCCTCGACGGCAAACAGCGCGTATTCATGAGGGTCGCTGAAGCATTTCATGACACTCCGCAGCCATGCCGCACAGACACAGTTAAACATAGGTGAAGCAGTGGTTATGCAGGCACTTAGCAGCGGCAAAATGTCTCTTAACAAGCGTTCTGTGGGATAAGATGTGAATGCAAGGGCCTCTGCGAGGTGAGCCCCCACAAGCCGCACCGTGAAGGATTCATGAGAGAGGGCTGCCAGAACATTGGGTCCAATGATCTCAAAGGCAGCCATAACAAGTGGATCGCTTACCGTTGCTGACACCGTGGCGGTGGCGGTGGCGGTGGCGGTGGCGGTGGCGGTGGCCAAGGAAGAAGATCGTGCAGACAGCAACGAAGTCCGACACGCAGTACGTGCAAGGCGCAAGAGCACCGCACGCAGTAAAATATAATAACTGCGTTTTGCCTCAACCGTGTTTGACTCCGTAACGGCGGTGTAAACAGCTACGAGCACATCGGGTAACAATCGCGCGGCAAGCCTTCGGTTGGCGGGCAAGGCAGCACAAAGGAGCGAAGCGTGCACGTTGGCAGCGGCGTTGTCAAGCGTTCCCATTACCTCTGCGGAATGGGGCAGAACGTCATCACAGTACACCGATATAGCAAGAAAATTATCTGCGTCGGAGATGCTTGAGAGAAGAGACGCTAAAAAGACGAATCGCTGAGGTTCTGAATTCCCTCTCGAAGGTGCCTCCTTCTTCCAGGGTCTCGGTGCCGCGGAGGCGTCTTCCAGCTGCAGAGGGTGCCGTTGCCATTGTTTTGACAGTTGCTCGTTTGCTTCCTCTGGCGGAAGCCTTCGCAAGAAGAGAGCGGCGACGTCGGCCATGGAGTCGCCCTGACACAAGACACGCTCCGTCAACTGACTGACGCTTCCAAGTAGGGCACTCCACAGGCGACGCTGCAGCAGTGCTCCCAAGTTGGCCTCTTCACGCAGAAAGTATTCCGTAAAGGGCGCAGATATGTCGCGGGCACACGACCACCCTTGGTCGGCCGCCTGCGTCCGCACAACGTACTCAATGTAATCCAGCGCTGTGACCTCCCTCGTGGGGGGGAGAAGATCATCGGGTTGTTCTTGCTGCTGCTGCTTCTGCCGTTTCTGACCATCTCGTGCAGCTGTTTGCTTGTTGTCCCTGGGCGCGGGACGGACCACGGTCTGTCGCACCTCCGCAGGGCGCAGCGAGACGAGGAAGTTCATCGGTGGTTTTCCGTTTGGCCGCTTCTTGTCAGCGGCGCCGTCATTGCTGGATGTATCCTCAAAACTCCTCGCGGCCTCCTTGTCACCCGCGTCACCACTCGCTTGGTCATTGGCGATAGCGTGAATGACGGGCCTCTTCGCCACCGCCAGGGGCAAGGTGCGGTCTGGCGAGGCCAACGCGGCCGCATTCGAGGGCCAGAGTTCCCGCACGCGTGTCGTCGACCTCGTGATGTCGTCGACAGCTGGGGCGTTAAACTCCACGTTGATTTTTGTAGACAACACAGGGGGCATCGACCGTGGCAGAATCGTTTTTGGCTGTGCCACCTCTTCCGCGGGCAGCGGTGCCGCCTCGACAATCACCCGCCCCGTCAGGTGCGTGTACAGCTGCCGGAGAAGAGAGTTGGCGTAGTCCTCGCGGCAGGCCATCACCCCCTCAATCATGCGACCACTCAGCGGGCAATTGTTCAGGGCGAACTGTTTTTGCAGCAACTCCCAGTTACTGCGCTTCTGCGCCGCACTCATCTTGTCCTCGTAGGAGTGCATGCTGATGCTGCTCCAGTACCGCGAGCAGATCACCGCCACCAAAAAGCCGTTGGATAGGTCCCGCCTCGGGCGCCGCACAACGCGCGGGAGGTGCAGGGTGTGAATCCACGCTACAACCTCGCGCGGTACCCCCTCGTGCTGCGGTGGCCGCCTCAACTCCGGCGAAGAAGACATCCCTATTCTTATTTTGTTTTTCTCCCTTAGTTTTTACCTTCCCTCTTTGGTGTTACTGTTGTCCCTGCCCAGGCACCGCCACACACCCGCTTGCCTTTTCTTCCTTCTCTCAGTTTGTTGCGACGCCGGGGTGCCTGTTTTGCCTGCAATGCTCACAGCTGCCGAGGGGCCAAGGCGACAACAGCAGAAAGACGCACAGACACCTAAGCACCATCACCCCCAAAGAAAGGAAGAAAATAGGGCAAATCATAATAAAAAGCAAAGTAATGTTTCACCTCCGCCTCTTCTTCCATCACACGGACTCCTCTCCATTCTCTCTCTTCCCCTGGCCTGCAGCAGCCCAGGCGTATCACAGACTCACAGCATGCTTATAATACCTCTCTCTCTCTCTCTCTACACACACACACACACACTACGTTGGAAGGAAANAACCAAAAACCATAACCGACC